ACATTCTGGACTAGGAAGAATACTTGAAGCCATTTGGGTCTGCACTGTTGATTTTCTCACACAGAATCTGGAACCTGAGATGCTGGCTCAACATTATCAATTTGCTGATGCAGAAATCCATGCCCAGATAATTAAAAGACTTGCCCGGAGCTGCAAAGTTATTAACTGGCAGAGTTGCCAGCCGCATCTTTCTCTGAGATCAGACTTGCCTTAGATCCCATAATGACAAGCCCTATCACCATGCCCTCCCACTGATATACAGTACAACCACGTGAGGATGGCTTTGTGCAAGCTACTAAGTCCCTCTAGGCCTTGGTCTCATCAATAGGCCAAGAATAAAACTCAACTCAGGGCTGCCTTGCAGACCAAGTAACATAGCACATAACATTTCCAGAGGACCAGACCTGACACAATTCTCACATTGAATGTATGCATTGGGCTATATTCCAAAGTATTAATTCAAGTGTTTGTGTCTCTCCCATCTTTTCCTTTGTATTCAGTCATAATTACGGTCTGATTACTCTCCATCACTCTGGTGCAGGGCTGGGGGGAGAGGGGGAAGTAACCCGCCTGATTTCCTAAGTGCTTTCCTGCAAAGCCTACCTAATCCTTGGGATCAGGGAAGAACTCAGGAACAAATGAAAAGCCATAGCAAGAAGCCTGGGGACAAAATTAAGAAAGAAGGACTGCTGGCATTGGGGACTCGGGATTGGGGACAGAAGAAACACACAGAAAGAAAATTAGGCCCTGAGAGAAAGGGGAATCAGGGCGCACATCTCCTAGTCCCTGGAAAGATGGGACCACAACGCTTGGAGCCCCAAGAGGCCAGATCAGACAGTAGTGGTTACTGTTCACCCTGTATACCCCCTGTCCCACACTTCAGTGTTGCAAGTCTCCTAAAATCATGGGAAAATCACAAGTACAGGACAGGGAAAGAGTCTGCAAAATCATGGCTCAACTGTGAGCAGGGCGGGCCCCCAGAAAGGAAGTTAATTTCCCATCAGCTAGGAGAAAGAGAACCGTGAGGTTGGAATTATGTCGACAAAAGTAAAGCAGGCAGTGCTCATTGAGAATGGTGTGGTTGAGTGCTCGGGACCACTTACGGCCAAAAGAAAGGCACTCTACAGGACCTGTGAAGACACTGCTGGTGAGAACCCCTGAGCTAGTAGAGAAGAGGATACTGTGAACTCAGACCATTGCCCAGCATCCTCAGGGCCCAGCATCTTCAGGGCACACACGCCCAGAACAGCCATCAGCACCTTCAGGTCCTGCTTCAAAATCTACATGCTGAGAGCTGGAAAGATGCTTCAGTGGTTAAGAGCACATCCTGCTCTTGCAGAGGAACACACTTCAAATCCTAGCCCCCATATCAAGCAGTTCCTAGCAGCCTGTAACTCTGAGTACAAAAGGTCTGACACCTTTTGGCCTTCCTGGTCACCCACATGCATGCATGCATGTCCATGCACACACACACAAATAAATATTTTTAAAAAATCTACGTGTCTGAAGACCCAAAGAATTGTTATACACTCTAAAAATACCCCTTAATTCTGAAACTTAGTCTCCCTTCCACAGTCTATATTCTTCTGGGCTTCAGCACCACACAACACATTTATGAAATCTTAAGACATCTGATCTTGCACTGGCGCCTTCCAGCCACGATGTGAGTTTTCAGCTAGCTTGGAAATATTACTGGCAGGTGGGCCTCAAGCGGAATAGTTCCTAATAGCCTTGGCTACATACGGGAGTGATTGCCATCTCTTAAATGTGCCCCCACCACACGACACCAAAACTAAATGTGCTCTTAGTTTAACTTCACCTACCAGGCTTCCAAAATGCTAACAGCTCTACAGGGCTGCCTGCCGTAAATGAAAGGAGGCCATGGGAGAACAGACAGCACAAGACAGTGATTTGTTGGTTTGTTTGTTTTGTTTTTAGAGATAGGATTTCTCTGTGTACCTCTGGCTGTCCTGGAACTCACTCCGTAGACCGGGTTGGTCTCAAACTCAGAGATCTGCCTCTGCTTCTCAAGTGCTGGGACTAAAGGGGCGTGTCACCTCTGCCTGGCTCAGTTTTTGGTTAAGACATCTTGTTCTGAAATTTTACACGTGACCTTGCAAAGACATTGTGAAGCACACACACACACACACACACACACACACGGCTCTAAGAACAAGAAGACACTAACTAACTAAAAGATACAGCCCCTGAGGTTTTTGTAAGGCAAACCCTTGTATCTATTTCATCCAGGGAATACCGTTATCGTTCCTGAAAGCAAAATAGCCCACTCTAAGTCATTCATGGACAAACCCTGGAAAAGGTGATGAGCTTAGTACATGCATGCCCCCTAATGGAATTATTTGGTACTACAACGGTTACAATAGGTTTGGCACCCCACTCTACTCGCGCAGAGAAATCTACGTACTTATTTTTATTAATGCATTCCGGGAAAGAGCTGCATTTACTCACCTGGGTAGTCCGTGTCAGTAAAGGGGATTTAATGGTGTTGAGTAAAGACCAGGGGGAAAGGTGTGATCCTTGAGGAACCTTAGACGTTCAAATTATCCAAGACTTTGGTCCGAGTTTCGACTGCATCTGCGCTGGCTATCGCTTCCCTCTAGCGGCAATATTTTGAAACTAAAACACTCAGACTATGAAATAATTTTCTTTCAGATCTTTCTTCTATCCATCTAACCTTTCATTTATCTATTCACTCATGCGTCCTTTTTTATAAATACTTTTATGACGAATTATGTTTGGCAGTGTTTGTGAAATAGTAATAAAACACAATAGTAAGAGAGAAAATCCAGTTCCACTCGCTAACTCTTGGAAACAAATCCACCCTTATTGGGGAAAAATAGACAGAATTAAATGAAAAGGATTTGACTGTAAAATTTTACACAGATTTGGAATATGGGTTTGTCTTACTAAATAGAAAAGAAAGCAGCTCCGTGGAGACACCCACTGTCTCATGTCTGAGGGAGCTAATGGAATAATAGGACAGACATGCAGTTTTCTGGGCAGTAAGGTAACCACAGAAGTGAGGCAGAAGTAATTGTGTGTGTGTGTGTGTGTGTGTGTGTGTGTGTGCGCGCACACACACACACACACACACACACTGGGGATAAAGGCTAAAAGAAGGCCCCTTGCTTGACTGGGTACTAGGTATCTAAGCATTTCTGAACAGAGACTGTGGTGTAGGTAAAAGGACTATAGAATGTTTGTGTTTGGGGGTTTATGGGATAAAGTATTGCCAAGGATTGAGCCCCAAGTCTTATTTGTAGTATGCAAGCCCTCTATTACTGAGCTAATTTCCCACCCCAGAATTGTTCTATGGAACTGAGTGCTCAACTTCATATGGAAAAGCAAAAAATCCAGGATAGCCAACACAATCCTGTATAATAAAAGAATTTCTGGAGTCAATCACAATCCCTGACTTCAAACTCTACTACAGAACTACAGTACTGAAAACAGTCTGGTATTGGAATAAAAACAGACAGGAGGACCAATGGAACCAAATCGAAGACCCGGATATTAATCCACAAACTTTCGAAGGCCTGATTTTTGACAAAGAATCAAAAAATATCAAATGGAAAAAAGAAAGCATATTTAACAAATGGTGCTAGCATAACTGGATATCAACATGTAGAAGAATGCAAACAGATCCATATCTATCGCCATGCACAAAACTCAAGTCCAAGTGGATCAAAGACCTTAACATAAAGCCAGCCACACAGAAGAGAAAGTGGGAAGTACACTTGAACGCATTGGCACAGGGAACCACTTCCTAAATATAACCCCAGCAGCACAGACACTGAGAGAAATAATTAATAAATGGGACCTCCTGAAACTGAAAAGCTTCTGTAAAGCAAAGGACAAGTCAACAAGACAAAACAACAGCCTACAGAATGGGAAAAGATCTTCACTAACCCCACATCAGACAGCTATCTGATCTTCAAAATATGCAGCTAAATCAAGAAATTGGTCAACAAAAGAACACATAATCCAATTTAAAAAAATGGAGGACAGACCTAAACAGAGAACTCTCAACAAAGAAATCTAAAATGGCTAAAAGACACTTAAGGAAATGTTCAACATCTTTAGTCATCAGAGAAATGCAAATCAAAACAACTCTGAGATTCCATCTTACACCTGTAAGAATGGCCAAGATCAAAAACACTGATGACAACTTATGCTGGAGAGATTGTGGTGTAAAGGGAACACTCTTGCATTGCTGGTGGGAATGCAAGCTAGTATAGCCCCTTTGGATTTCAGTGTGGCAATATCTCAGAAAATTAGAAAACATATGATGGAAATAGAGGAGAGACAGTCCTTGGAAGTTGTCCTCTGCCCTCCACACCTGCACTACGGCATGAGTGCACCTGTCACCCTATTTATAAAAAAAAAAGACACCCACACCTGCACAAGAAAAGAAAGGACGTTCAACGATTAAGATCTCTGGGTTTGGTTCCCTTCTTTCCTATGTGGGTTCTGGGAATCTCTGGTCGTTAGGTTTGGTTCACAGTGCTCACTTATCCTTCGAACCATCTCAACTCACAGTAGCAATTCTCTGAAGATGATTCGGGTAATCAGCATTTTGGGGGAAAAAAAAAGGAATGATGAAGCTATAACACATTCATTCCACCTTCAAGAATAAGGTGACCGCTGGTGCTAACTTATGAGCAACACTAAATTATTGGAAGCTTTTCTGTAAATCAACCTATCATTGCTAATTCACTTGTTTTTTATGAGCAGCACTGAAGAAAGTGTATAAAGGTTCTGGAGGATATCGACTCATCTCAGAACTTTTGGTCCATGGCGTTACTAACTTTCCTAAGTGGAAGCAAGTACAGGCAGAGTCTAACCATAACAAACATGGCGGCCGCGGCTTCAGAAAGCAACCGAGATTCCATTCACTGATTGCAGTAACACCTCTAGATCCAGCCCATTCGTTTGACGTCACTCCCGGCGCGCCAAGGAGGCGAGCGTAGCTCTTCCGGTTTTAGCAGGCGAACCTGCAGAGAGAAAACAGCCTTAGAGGTTCTCGCCGCCAGACACGGAAGGGATGCAAACGCGAGCAGCATGGAGAGAGAAGGTGAGACGTCTGTAGTTGTCGCCGTTGTGACTGAGCCTCGGTTTACCCAGCGCTACAGAAACTACCTGGAGAAGCAGAAACTCCTGGATAGACAGCACCGTGTGCAGAAGCTGCGGGATGGCATGGTGGCGCTCCCGGTGCTTGCGGAAACCCTCCCTGAGCGGCACCTGCAGGAGCTGAGGAATCGCGTGGCCCCGGGCAGCTCCTGCAGGCTGACGCAGCTCCTCGATCCTCTTCCTTCCAAAAAGGCCCGGGTTTGTTCACCTGCGCAAAGATTGTGCCTTGAGGTGAGGCATTGGGTAGAGGACCGCGGAGTGACGTGGTGCGCCGAGCTGGAGGCGGATTTGCCCCGGTCATGGCAACGGCATGGCGACCTAATGCTGCTTAGTGAAGACTGTTTCCAAGCCGAGCAATGGCAGAGTCTGGAACCAGAACTCTGGGAGACTGTCGCCTCGGCCCTTGGAGTTCAGCGTTTGGCCAAACGAGGGCGGGTGTTGCCTGATGGTACTCGGACTCCATCCGTGACTCTGCTGCTGGGTGACCATGGCTGGGTAGAGCATATGGACAATGGCATCCGGTATACGTTTGACGTGACCCAGTGCATGTTCTCCTTCGGGAACATCACTGAGAAACTTCGGGTGGCATCGCTGTCCTGTGCTGGAGAGGTGCTGGTGGATCTCTACGCGGGGATCGGGTATTTCACATTGCCCTTCCTAGTTCATGCCGGTGCTGCCTTCGTTCATGCCTGCGAATGGAATCCCCATGCCGCCGCTGCTCTCAGAAACAATTTGGAGATCAACGGCGTGGCAGACCGGTGCCAGATACACTTTGGAGACAACAGGAAGCTGCAGCTCTCCAACGCTGCAGATAGGGTGAACCTGGGGCTGATCCCCAGCTCTGAGGAAGGCTGGCCTGTTGCCTGCCAAGTGCTTCGGAAGGATGTCGGGGGTGTTCTGCATATCCACCAAAATGTGGAGTCTTTCTCAGGCAGGAACCCCCAGCCTCTTGGAAGCAATAACACGGGAAAGGAGCATGAGCCTCTTCCCCAGAAAGTTATCACTGATAGACGGGGAAATGGAACTACTGGGATTGTCAGGGGGGAAATGCCGCCATCAGCCAGCAAACCAGAGTGGCACAGCTGGGCAGAATCTGCAGCAACTCAGATTGCCTCTCTGCTTCATCAGCTGCATGGGAGAGTGTGGAGGACACAAATCCTGCGTGTCCACCCAGTGAAATCTTATGCCCCCCACGTGGATCACGTAGTCCTAGATCTGGAGTGCCGCCCCTGTCCTCTGGTTGCCTAGAAGGGTAGACTGAGTGGCACAGTAGAACCAAATGAGTGGCCCCTGGGGCTTCAGCTAGGGCCGAGTTCTCACCCTCTTGTTGTCTTTTTTAATGATTTGTGGCCTGAAAATGAACTCTAGATCAGCCCCCAAATTTTTATTTCCTGTTGATCACACTGAGAATATGTTAAAGTGTGAGAGGAAATCAGAATGGCTCATTAAAATAGGACTCATTTGGGCAGTCAGGAATTCCGCATTTTTACCTTCGTTTTCAGTGGGCATACGGTCATAATATTCATTTGGTCTTGGATTTATTTGCACATAAGGTTTCCTTGAATTGGATTGTGTGGCTTTTTTCTAGCAAGTCATATACAGACATTATTAGAATGAAATACTAATTCACTGTTGGTACTATTCCCAGAGATCACTAGCTCCGGCATGAGGAATCTGCTGGAAAGCCAAGATCAAGCTAGAGACCAGTGAGGAGGCGGTCCAGTTCGACAGAAGTCCTGTAGTTGTTCAGGCACAGCGGATAGTGGTTTGCACCAGGGTGGCAGCCATGGGGATTTGAAAAATAAATATAAATAGGTTTGAAAAATAAAATCAATGGGACCAAATAATGAACTCCAAATTGAAGCATTAACATGGTGGTGCTTTGTTATTGTGACTAAATTACAGAGGAAGGGGACAATTAATGGAGGTCACTCCAATCTAGCATTCCTTGGTGGGGTGTCTGCTTGTGGGGGTGGGAGGGTCTTATATATTAGACCATTTTATGTTAGGGAGGATTAAGAATTACTTCTCTGTCCCAGTGTAGTAGCTCATGCCTGTGATCTCAGCACTTGGAAGGCTGAGGCAGGATGATTGCTGTAAGCTCAAGGATAACCCAGGTCACAGTACATAGTGCGGCAGACATTGTCTTAAAGCCAAGAGTCACTTCTCTGAATTTTAGGGAATCTAAAGTCTAGCCTTGGGCTGTGTGATAGCTGCCAGTTGGTTAAAATCCCAAGATTTTTATAGACCTTAAAGTTAGACTTATCTTCTTTTCCTGGAGAAGAAGCTGTAGGAAGAACTGGAATAAAATTCAGTGTAGAGTATTTACCGGGTTCATCGCCATCCCCCCCTCCCCCACTGCCAAACACACATACACACACATACACAGGTCTAGAACTAGCAGCTCTTGCTACTATACTATAGGTAGGAAACACATTCTGCAGTTTCCAAACCATCTGCTTAGAATTAGGTGGCTTCTGCTGTTCACTGCCATTTGCCACTGGGAGAACTAATGGCTGAGGATCTTGCAGAGCTGTTTCGATGCACTTTGAAGCCCTGTAGGCCAGTTTGCTTGGTGAAGGAGACAGGCAACAGGGTGCCTACTTCCTTCCTTGTCTTTTGATATAACCGAAGCTTACCTGCCTTGTGTGTGACTGCCTACTCTTTCTCTTGCAGCAGTAGCAATGAGGACTGGGTTGGTGCCTTTCTCATTAAGCACAAATGTTAAGTGCCTTCTGCATGTAAGAGCCACAGAAAATATAAAGATCCATTAGATTTATTTTTTAAAAAAAAGCCTCCCACCAAGGAGCAAGCCCAGCTTAGCAGCAGAATTTACACCGTCCTCAGTGATGGAGTAGAGCGGTTGCCACAGGACAGACTTGCTGGAGATGTGCAGAAGAGGGGAAGAAAGGTTCTGAGAAATAAGTAGGAAGTCTACGTAGAAGTGGTGTGATGACTTGGAGATGAGGCTCTTGAAAACTGGGTAAGAGTTTGATGGATGGGGAGGAGGCAGAGCTAGGACCCAGAGTTTCAGCGCTTAAGAAATGAGGCATTGCTGTTAGTTTGTAACAGAGGCCATGGCGATATAATGTTGGAGATGAGGACTCTGGGCAGTGTCTTGTGGACAGAGAGCTCCCAAGGAAATGTTAGCTAGCCTAGGACCCCACTGCGCCCAGTTAACATTCCTTTCTCAGAGTGGCTTTCTGGTGTTTACCTGGATTATATTTTTCTCTTCACTTGCTCGGTTCCTTTTCACTGTCTGCCAACAGCTTGCCATATTGGAACCAAAATGCCAATGATGCCAACCCGGGACTTAAATGAGAAGGAGGGAGATGAGTCAGGGAGCAGCATTTGGGGACTGAGGAACTGACATTGGTCGTAAGCCACAAGCAGGCAGTTGGTGTCAGGCATAGCTGATGGGATTCATTCTACAGGTTGTTCAATCCCTGAGTTCCAGGCCAGCCTGGGTTATGTAACAGGACAAGGGAGTAAGGGCAGCTGGCAAGGCAAAGCCCGTGGATTCCCACAACTTCCCTTGCGCCTGTAGTGGCCAGGAAAGCTAGTGTTGGCACAGAGATGGAGCAGGGCTCCCAGGAGGCTGCTGAGTTTGTACTCCGAAAACAGAGCATCCCGGTATGCTAAGGTGGGATTACAGGACCTTCCATTTATTAAGGAAATCCTTGAGCAGCTACACCAGCCCTGCATAGTCTTTCTAATTTCAACTTTGTCATTAAAAAAAAAAAAATCTGCAAACCCTAGTCCCCTGCCCCTCGGCTGCCCAGTTTGTGTATAGCAAAGTTGGGAGTTCTTTTTCTTATAGGCAAGAAATGTTTCTCATATTCTGAATAATGGACTGAGTATCACTATGACGTGATAGATAATAATATATAAAATATAGCTAATAACAGAAAATGGCAGCACGGCAACAATAACAGCAGATAATAAGTGGCCGATAATAAACCAATAAATAGCAGCGCAGCAATGCTCACACCTAACGTTGGGCTCTTGGAAATCACGTTTTTTCCATTTGCTTTTCATGCCGCCACCTAATGGAGAAGTCAGGAATAAAAACTCCATCTTACACTGTGACTGGAAGGCCTTCCACAAACATCACTGAGATCTAGCGAGTACTGGGCGCTGGACTCAAACAGAACAAAAGCAGAACCAAACCCAGACCCCGTGAACTTTATACACTAGTGAAGGGTCAAATAGTAACCAGGTAGCCACACGACACCCACATGTAGCCTTCCATATGACTCTCATTCTAGCAGATCCTGGGAGGAGAGGTTCTTGATTTAACCAGCGATTAAAGACACATGCCTTAAATGTCAGCGTTTAGGAGGTAGAAGCAGGTGGATCTCTGTGAGCTCGAGGCCAGTCTGGTCTATTTAGAGACACAAGTGCCTTGTGGAGAATTCTGAGGGCAGAGTAAGGAGTCACGACAGGACAATAATGGGCAGAGTGCGTGTAGGGCACACACCCACAATGCCAGCTCTCAGAAAGCGAAGGCAGGAGAGCAGCTCTGTTCAAGGTAAACCGTGATGTCATGTACAATGCACATCTAAATAGCAGTAGGACATTACTGGAGAGTCTTAAAATGTAACATGGTTAACATAAGTTTTTAATTCACTAAAATTCGACTAATCTCCTCTCCCCCCCCCCCCCCTTTTATTTTTCTTACTTCAGATCTCTGTGACCTGTCTTAAACTTGTGAGCCTCTCAGCCTCCTGAGTTCTGGGATCTTAAGTATGCACCACCACATACCTGGCTGTCCAGGGTTATAAGACGTACGTGGAGGCTGGGGAGACGCTTCAGTGGTTAAAGCTCCAGCCTCACAATTGTTAAGTTCAGATCTCTAGAAACCACATGAGGTCGGATGCACATCTGTGACCCCTGTGCCCCTGTGGTGCAATGGGAGGTGGAGTTAGACCACAGGCTGGCTAGCCTGGCCTACCTGAGACACTGAGAACCATCTCACGCGAGGTCCTCTGACCCTCACATGTGCCTGCATTCACACAAACACACCACACACACAAATACACTATCCCCACCCCCATGGCCGTGGTCCTTCCCATCTGGCCACGCTTCCCACAGCTGGTAAGACGGTACTGTAAGGGAACCAGCCTTTACCGCATATAATGGACTTCTGTGTTAACGTTAGGCAAGCAGCGCTGAGCTCATGGATGATGAGGCCAACAGTTTGGATGTATTCTTTCTTCCATTTTCTAGACAAGTTTGAGTGGAATTAGCATTCTCCACACTCTCATAGTTTACTCTGTGAACATAGCTGCCTTGGGATCCCAGCCTTGTCAACCTAGATTCTCTAGCCCCAGGCCGGAACTGGACAGTTTCTCCAGGCGGTAGTGACCTGGAGTAGTTTTGACACATCTGGCTTGCTAGCCACATTTCATGGATTCCTGTCCCTCACTGTCTATGACTAGTGCCTTAACAACCATTTGCATCTAGTTTTTTTTTAAATACTATTTATAGCTTATAGTAACTTCTGTATATAAAGTTTCTAGCTTTAATAACTATGACTGAGGAAATCCTCTTCAATAATGCATATATATACTTTGGTTGAAACAAAAATCTGAACATTGAACACATAAGAATCCCATGCTCCTTACCTTGACCCCTATGCTAAACCTCTCCAGCCCAGGGACTTCCCTTCCCTTCCCCCAGTTTCTCTTTACTAGATAAACCAGCCATTTTTGGCGCATGCTCTCTTGGCTCACTTCTTGGCCTCTTGGTTCAAGGCTCCTCTCTTGGTCTGCTTGCCAGTTCCTCCCCTTCCTCTCTTACTTTCCCCCTTTTTCCTCATGGCCTTGTTTAGTCTGGACCCTTTCAGATGCCTCTGGCTGTTCTCTCAGATTTACAACAAAACCCTTCTCAACCATTAAAAATAAATAAAAAGGCACTTAATTTTATGCTGTAATTATTGAGAATGCTTATAAAGTAAATATTGCAATATTAACAACGTGGTGGCATTTTTTCTGGTTAGATAAAACCTGCAAGTTTGCTTTATCATTGTTTACACAATTTCAGAGACAAAATAGATGTCCCTGGGTTTTTAAAGGTCAGGTCGCCTTCAAGACAAAGGCAAACAGATAACAGTGGATGAGTATGAGGCCGGCACTGAACTTGGCACTTCCACGCCCTAGCATTAGGTAGAAAAATAGGAACAGATTGATAGAAGGTTGCCTTAATTTTTATCTTTTGGTGATTTTTAAGGTCTGGGTCCACATAATTTAAAAACTGAAGTACAGGTAACAAAGGCAATTATGAAAAAAAAAAACCCAGTAACCTCATGCTATGATGAAACAGCTCTCTCAGCCTTACTGTGTGCTGTTTCTAACAATTTCAGATGAACTTGCATCCCAAAGGAGACCTTAAGACTCTCTCTCTATATATATATATACATATACATACATACATACACACACACACACACACACATCTATGTACATCAGCAGAAGCCATGAGGGCCTGTATAGAACTAAGTCCCAAGACCACTGGACCACAAAGGTGATTTTCTGTTGGAGAGACATCCACATATGTATCTAGTTTTGTCATAGAATTATGTAAACTCTCCCACCCTCTAACCAACAAAGTCTGAAGAGGTCTAGGTCATTTGTGTGTGCTAGGGGATGATATTGTACTGAGTGGGTCAGATAACAGGAAGTGGCATGTTGCATGTCAGAGCAAAGGCGGTAACCCCCAATAAGACCAGCAGCCTGTTATTTCAGTTAGAGATTTCTTGGCTCCAGAAGTATCTCCATCATAAAAACCAACTGCTGTACATTTTCCAGTCATTTCACCAAAATCATTCCACCACCAAAGAAGTATCCCGAGCTCTGTGGGTCTCTGGTAAGCTGTAACTTGGAAATCATGGTTCTGGTCCATAGACTGGACGACAAGAAGACAGTTCTCAGTGGGATCCAGGGGATGTGAAGGCTCACTGACTGCCCAGGCTGCAGTGTGATTTAGCCCTGATGTCTGAGGCATTCAACCCAGAAGATTCTGTGGTAAAGAGTTTGTGATAAGAATCCATGGAAGTTCATGGCAAGTTCTAATAGGAGAATTGTAAGTGGATCACTAGTGTTTGTTCCTACAGCAAGGCATCTCTGCAGGAGACAGCCACACAAACAAGACAGTGTTGTATGCATGATAGTGGGAACAGTGCATCTTGTGGATTATTAGTGGCTATATAGCCAGCTTCTCATGATGCATAGGACTTTGTCAGACCCACCAAATAAATCCAGCTCAGAATTGATTATGGTCATGGCCAGAAGAAACAAGAGGCACAAGATATTCAAACTCCTGTATCCTATCTGTCAATCTCCCAATGTTCCTCCCTCAGTTCACAATTACAGCCATTTGGAGGACTGTAGCCACTCTAAACACAGCATTAAATGGTACTATGTTCCATATAGATAGAACACTGCATTTGGGGATGACAAGTAGATACAGAATTCCCACAATGATAGGTTGATTAATGACTCTGAATAAGTTCATATCCTAATATCTGGAACTTACGATAAAGTAATGTTAAGATTAGGAAATTATGCTGGATGGTCAGTACACTTATGAAAGAGAAGCAAGGGTAATTTGAGTGAGAATGGCTCCCATTGGCCATATGTTTGATGGAACTGTTTGTGAAGGATTAGGAACTTGAAGAAGGTGTAACACTGGACATGGGATTCTAACTTTCAAAAATTCATGTGATTTCCACATAGCTTTCTCTCTGCCTCGTGCTGTGGATCAGATGGAAACTCTCAGCTGCTGCTCCAACACCATGACAACCACAATGGGCCTGGACTTACTCTCTGGAACCGTGAGTCCCAATAAACATTTTCTTTTATAAGATGCCTTGGTCATGGTGTCTCTTTACAGCAATGGAAAAGTAATTAAGACACCCAGGGTGACAGAAGCAGCAACAGGAAACAGAAGCAATAGGAAATCAACACGTCCACTTCTCCTAGTAAGCCATGAGGGGAGCTTGTGATTCTCATTACAACTTCGTGGGTTCATCAAAAGACGTAATACAAAAAAAAAAAAAAAAACAAAAAAACAACGACAACAACAACAACACTTTAAACCTGCTAAGGTTCCCTGTGCCAAGAGACCAACAGGCAAGGAGAAACCACAGCCTAGCTGTGGTGACTGATTTGATCGGGAGGAAGGAGGCTACTGTAAACAGCAAGGATATGTGGTGCACCTACCACAGGTGTCAGCAGCCTCATGAGCCTTTCCTACCCCATGCCAGGAGTAAAATGGTCGACTTCCAGATGGCAGAAATACCATCTTCATAAAACCACATTAAAATGCTGTCCAACATGTGCTCAACTATGTTCATTGCAGCATTGTTTGTCATAGCCAGAACCTGGAAACAACCTAAATGCCCCTCTATCAGAGAATGAATAAACAAGATGTGGTATATTTACACAATGGAGTACTACACAGTGGGGAAAAATAATGATATCTTGAAATTTGCAGGCAAATGGATGGATCTAGAAAGCATCATATTGAGTGAGGTAACCCAGACCCAGAAAGACACATATCATATGTGCTCATTCATAAGTGGCTTTTAGACATAAAGCAAAGAAAACCAGCCTACAAACCACAATCCCAGAGAACCTAGACAACAATGAGAACCCTAAGAGGGACATACATGGATCTAATTTACATGAGAAGTAGAAAAAGACAAGATCTCCTGAGTAAATTAGGAGCGTGGGCATCATGGAATATGGAACATGGTAGAGGGTGGGGGAGAGAACTGGAGAAAACTATATAGTTCAATAAAAACAATTTTTAAAATGAAAAAAATAAATTTACAGATAAAAATGCTTTCAAAACTGTCAAAGTGAACTTTTTAATGAACTCTGAAGGTTACTTAACACTCACAATAATCTGATAAAGCATTTATTCAAGAAAACAATTAAATTATAATAAACAGAAGCATTTTGACTTACCCCGTGCCCCATCTCTAAAACAACGTTAAAAAGTAGTACTAACAGTGGACAGCCCCAGCATATCCCTAACTAGGGAAACTGCCCCTAGAGCAAGGCTTCTTAAGTTTTTCCCCATTTTGCTCAAGAAATTTTTAAGCAAAATCAATTATATAGCAATACAATAGAGATATAGATGTCAAACATTTGCCAAGCGGTGGTGGCACACACCTTTAATCCCAGCACTCAAGGGAGAGAGGCAGGCAGAACTCAGTCTACAGAGCGAGTTCCAAGATGGGATCCAAAGTTACACAGAGAAATCCTGTCTCGAAAAACAAAACAAACAAGCAAACAAAAAAGAAGTCAAACATTTACTGATAATAAATCAAAAGAAATATGTTTAAGTTTTTTAAAGTTTCATATTAATTTTATCCAATTTTCTGTATAACTTCAAGCACCTAAATGTTTATTTCCATAGGCCTCAAAAAATAAGTGGATATTATAGAACAATATACCTTCCCCCGGCACACAGTTTTTTTTTTTAATTTGCATATTTTGGTGTGTCTTAGAAGTTAAAAAATTCTTAAGTAACAGAATTTTATCATTTATTAAAGACAAAAGCAAGTCTGTATACCACTGTTTAGTTATTTTTACATAAAGAATTAAACCTTGGATGGGCAGTGGTAGTGCATGCCTTTAATCCCAGCATTTGGGAGGCGGAGGCAGGTGGATCTCTGTGAGTTCGAGGTCAGCTGAGTCTACAAGAGCTAGTTCCAGGACTGGCTCCAAAGCAACACGGAGAAACCTTGTCTCAAAACACAAACAAACAAAAGAATTAAACCTCGGTGACCCAGGGATTGAAGGCACTTACTACCATACCTGAGGATGCTGCAGTTCACAAACTCCTCAACATCTTCTCAGTTGATGGACATTTTCATTTTAGAATTGTCCATACTGAGAATTCCAGCTTTGTACAAACACATATAAAACGGCAGAAGTATGTTTATTTGCACTTGAGAAATTGTTGAAATTATGTTCTAATAGCAAATCAAAATTTACTTAGTGACTGTTTATGAAACACAAGTCAGCAGCTCAACAATTTTTAAAACCAAACACCCCAACACAATATATTTCAAAGACAGGCCAATTTGGTGATTTATGCTGAGAATTGACAGTAAGAAAAATATTCTTTGGTTTTGTTTGTTTGCTTGTTTTTTAAAGTAAACTATGATATTTCTTTTAAGATAAAAAACTTAGTGTGTCTCAAAGAAAACAATGCCATTCATATTCCAAATCTGTCTCAAGTGAGCCAAGGTGTTTCAGTGTCTGAAGGTGCCACACAAAATGTACACAAATGAGCCCTTTCACAAACATCTTGTGTTCATTACACATTTGCTTTTGGATTAATGTTTGATCATTCCATGTTCAGAAATCTTTCACCGTGGTCAAAAAAATTTCCCTGCCACCCACATCAGCTATGCAATCTGACGTGGAATGGTGACCCGCAGTTCGGCCGATGGCCTGCAGGCTGTTTCATTAGATGGCATGCTGCCCTTCATTGGGCAGGATCCACTGTCCTATTATTCCCTCAAGGAACTCCTTTCCCCACTGTACTGTAATGCTGTTTTCAGCATGAGTTGGGTAGTCATATGTGGGACTTTCCTATATTTCCTATTCTGTTCCATGGGCTAGTTTCTCTAGCCACACTCCATACCACTGTCTTCATTGTTATAGCTTTGGACTAGGTCTTGACAGCTTGTGGCTAAAAAGTTCTTTCAATTTTAGTCAAGAGTTTCTTAGCTATTGTTGACATTTTCCATTTTCTGATAAATGTTAAAGTCAGTTTGCCCAGTTAAAAAAAACTGATCCTATTCAGATTTTTCTAAATTGAGATTATTTTGACTCTAAAGGGTTGAAGCCTTTACTATATTGAAGGGTCTACCTCAAAGCTGTTATTCTACTCAGGGCAGCTGTGAAATGAAAAGCGATTACCAGAAGTTTGCATTCCAGGATCCTACTTATGGTGAAGGGTCCTATATGTGCATCTGTAAGTGGGTACTAGTAATACAGTAATACATCATGACATATAATAATGGACAAAGTAGTATAGGAGTATACAGCTGGGTATGGTGGCGCACACCTTTAATCCCAGCACCAGGGAGGCAGAGACAGGCAGATCTCTGAATTCAAAACTAGCCTGATCTACAAAGCAAGTTCCAGGACAGCTAGGGCTGCTACTCAGAGAGACCCTGTTTTGAAACCGCCACCCCCCCACACACACACAAAGAATATACCACCTAGCCAACCAATACAGCTACCTTAGTTTGTGCTGGGTTTGCACAACCGTGAAATTTCCGAGTGTGTATCTTATCATTATGGGACACATGATTATATATTCATCTACTGTGAGCTTCCAGCCTTGACACAATTTCAATCCAAGTATCACCTGTATTCTCCTTCTTAGAGGTATCTTAGTTCTCACATTATGGTTGATCATGACCCTAGAATAACATATTTTAACCATTTATTTCTATTCTAACTTTCACTGAGTTCTATTGGAGGGTTACCATCTATAACAAACAGAATATCTTTACCAAAATGGAATGTTGGAAGACTGTTGGAATAGCATAGTAGCTCTAATGAGCATTGTCCCTAAAATTTATTTATGACATAGCATTACCAAATACTTTACTATTTGCTTGTTTTATTTTCAATATTTTGTGGTTGTAGTGGTGATTATTCCCAGGGCCTGCACATGCTAGGGACATATTCTAACACACACACACACACACACACACACACACACACACACTCCCCAGCCTATAAGTTATTTTAAGTTTTGTTTGTTGATTATGGGGTCTCATATGTAGCTCCAAACTGTCCTCAAACTCACAGAGATCTGCTTGTCTCCTTGGTTCCGGGATTAAAGGTGTGAGCCACCACACTCAGCTTATTTTAAACTTTTGTAGAAATAAAACATAAAATGACTTGCAGGAGAACAATCTTATGCTCTGGACAGGGAAAAATATAAGCTACAAATTTGATTCTGTCACTATTGATGCCTGGCTCTGTGTCCTCCAACAAGTCAGCTAAAGATTGATCTAGATGATGTGTGTAACAATTTCATCTCACATCTCCATATTCTAGCTTTCAGATGATCATACTGAGAAGTATATAGGTAAAGAAGCAGAAGGCAAACCATGAAGCACACATTAAGTGCTCTGGAAATGCCTACTGAGGGAATAGCCAAATGTCAGGCAATGGAGACTCAATGTATACTCCACACACCACCATAAACCCTGCTGTTTCCTTTGTTAATTAAAAAAAGAAGTCTCTTTGGCTTTAAGAAACCAGAAAATGTGAATATCAAAATGTGTATTTTGATGGGCACATCTGAATTCTACTTTTAAAAAAAGAAAAACCAAAAAACAATTTAGGGTTTGTCTTCGTTAGGGTTTCTATTGTTGCAACAAAACACCATGACCCAAAAGCAAGTTGGGGAGGAAAAAGTTTATTCAGCTTCCACTTCCACATTGCAGCTCACCAGTGAAGGAAGTCAGGACAGGAACTCAAGCAAGGCAAGAGCCTGGAGGCAGGAGCTGATGCAGAGGCCATGGAGGCGGCTGCTTACTGGCTTGCTTCCCATGGCTTTCTCAGTTCCCTTTCTCAAAGAAGCCAGGACCACCAGCCCAGGGATGGAACCACCCACCAAGGGCTCAGCCCTCCAATACTGATCAGTAATTGAGAAAATGCCTTACAGCTGGATCTCCTGGAGGCAGTTTCTCTGAGCCTTTCTCCTGAGGCTCCTTCCTCTCTGATGACTCAAGCTTGGGTCAAGTTGACACACACAAACAGCCAGTACAGGATTAGAGACTATTATTTTGAAGCAATTCTCAAGGACGTGAAGTTATAGTATTGTAACTACCAATTCCCACTCCTTTTACTGGCATTAGCATCTTCCATTGAAAGGAAATACGTAATACCTTGTTGAAAGGGGTGTGGGTCAGGGGAAGGAAGCTCAAGTGCTTGCTTCTCATTGTTCCTGGCAGCTAAGGAAGCCAGGGGACTCTAGTAAATTTCCTTTGGACACACAAGAATTTTCTTTCCTTGACAAGGCTCAACTGATGGCTATCCAGAGAAAAGTTAACATAAGTTTTACACAACCTACTTTTAAAGTACCTTTAATTTTAGGACATGGGAGGCAGACACGGGCAGACCTTTATACAGAAAGTGTGGGTCCAGCCTGGTCTACACAGTCAGTCCCAGACTAGCTCGAGCTACACAATGAGACCTTGACCAAAGAAAGAAAGAAAAAAAAGCAAGCTACTAAAAAGCATTTGAATCACTAATGACAGATAAAAAGGCTTCTGAATCATTAATGGCAACGTGTTATCTTTGAACACAGGGATTCTATGTATATTGTTTGTGTCAGCGCGGACACAAGCATTACTGTTCTTAGCCAGCTAAGTAGGTGTGTATTATTTTGTACTTCAAGGTTATACTTTATTCTCTATTTTTATATGACCATAATGTAATTCTACCTTTCTCTCCTACCACATTTTTACTTTAGTATTTCTGGACCCTTTTCTCCGTAATAGCTTTACTCTTTTGACTTTAATTACACTTAAAAGCAGATTGAGAGAGGGTGGAACAGCTTAATTTAATCCCTGAAGCTCCATATGTAAGGCTGTGTCATTCTCTAAGTTTGCTTTCCTTTGGGAACGCTGTCACAGACACAAGGTTATTCCCCAGTTATGCACCCAGCGTTAGTAAAGAGACCAATTCTGAAATGGTGGCAACCGTATGAGGGTATCACAGCAAGCCAGGGAAACAAGGGGGTCTCGAGTTGAGATGGGGACAGTGGCAACAGGAAGGAGATTGGGGCAAAACACTGTAAAGGCAAAATAGATATGATTCGGTTGCAGAGTTGGCCGAGGGTAACACTGGGTTCAAATTGTTTTCTGATATTTACCAGTCTGGGCCGTACACAGCCCACCTCTTAGTACCTTTGTGATCTTGCAATTCATCCTATGTAACCCTCAAAGTTTTCATCCTCTATAAATCAGGGAGACTAATACCCATCATAACAGATGCTGTAGAGGCTTCGGTAAAAGGTAAAACCGTGGCCACAGTGCCTCGTATACAGTAAGGAGTACATAGATGGGACTGGGGAGGGTGATATCACTAAAAACAAGAACACAAGGCTGCAGTAAGGACACTGGCGCAGTCTTTCCACTCCAAATACACTCACCCAAAGGCGTTCTGTTCAAGTCTGATAATTTTACGTACAGACCTCCTCCGTGAGCGGGACGGGACGGGACGGGACGGGAGGGAGGGAGGGAGGTTCTACTTCGGGAGCCCTGCTGTAAACCATGAGAACGCACTTTGCCACTTTGCGCTGGGAGCGGAAGCCAACCACGCCCCTTGTTTGCTATTTTAGGTACCTTCAACAAAAACAGTTAAATCTACAGCTCAGTCTCTGACCTCACACTCTTCACTTGCTGGAGAAGGAACAGAGTGACGACAGCCAGGCCATACCACCAACTCCACTGATCAAACAAGAAAGTGCCAGAAAAGAATGGTCTCATCTGTTCTGCTTAAGGATTAAGCAGGAGCGCTTACCCCAAGGACGAGGGTAAATCGAAGAACTAGAGAGACCGAGGCCCTTGCTCTTAAGTTTTAGGCTCCTAAGCCGCTAATAAAATGTGCTCACGACTGTCCTCAGTTCTGTCCACATGGACAGGAAGGGAGACGTGTAAACACAGGGGAGTGGTGTTTTTCTTGGCAGCGCCTACCACCCCAAAGCCAGTGCCAAGTCTGGCGGGGACGGCCCTGTGCTCGCGCAGGTATTTCCCCTGGCATCCTCAGCCCCGGGCCCCTGGCGGGGAGAGGCAGGTAGGCAGGGCGTCGTCGTGAGCCTTTTCATCTCCCAAGCCGTGGGAAGCGAGTTCCTGGGCTACTCCATAAACATCTAACAACTACCGGTCCGCACAGGAGCCCTCGCTAGGTGCGCGCCCAAGCCGAGCGACAGCCCCGGCAACGCCAGCGCCACCCGGCGGCGCGGTCTGCCGAAGCCGGCGGGCACCATGGCAACGAACGATCCTGGCCGATCCGGTAGTTGTTAGATGTTTATGGAGTAGCCCAGGAACTCGC